ATATATATATTATCGTATTATTCAATTGTCTATGTTGGAGTTCTTATTAAGTCATTTTTCCTTTTTTTATTTTCATTAACTATATATATGTCGTGATAAATTTGTTATTTGAATGGTGCAACCCAATGGTTGGGGCATTTCCATCCTCTCCTTACGTCTTAGTTTCAAACCCTATCAACAGCAGTAATTGATTTAATTTATTTTATATTCATTTAATTAGTGGCACGTGGCACCATTTGATTGGATGGAAAATTTATTAAATTAAATAAAAATATTAAGAAAAAACATTCAATCACATAGTTACAAATGTCACCATTTGATTGAGGATTAAATTTACTGAATTAATTATAAGTTAGGACCAAATTAATTGAAGGTGTAAGTAATGGGGACTAAATGTGTAATTATACAAAATTTATTAACTACCACATCATCTCATCCGTTAATATTTAACGGCATGTGACTTGATTGAGAGGATTTAAATAGTTAGGTGACCCGATTGACAAAATTGAAAAATCGATAGTTAAAGTAAAAGAGGTAAACAGTTAAGTGATCAATGGTATAATTTATCATAAAAACTAATGTTTTATAAATATTGTATTTTCATTAAATTACATTTATATTTTTAACTAATTTATAATTATATGTTTAATACTTTATAATTTAACATTTTATAAATTAATTTAATGATGCCCATCGTTAACGGTGCTTATTCACACAATCGATATAGAATTTTTCTAACCTTTTTTAATAATGTTACATTGTTACCTGGTTTGATTAACTTATTTTTTTGACTAAATTTATAATTAGTTATAATAAAAGTTTATACGGTAAACTACATTAATAACCACTGAACTATTAAAATGTTTATATTTTGATCACTAAGATCGTGTTTTTTAACTGAAGTCACTACCATCAAAGAAATCATTTAGAGTGAACAAAATTGAAAATTTCCTTCAAGGCATTGTTTAGATATGAATAACCAAAGTGTTTAGAAATCATGTAGTTTAAATTTAGACTTGACCCAATTAAGACTCGGACAAAGAATTCAACTAATGTTCATACCATAAACCCGAACAGTTCATATATGGTATATCTTCACATACATGGTAGTTGACTAGTTGAGGCGACCGTGAATTATTTTCACTGTTTCCTTCTGAAAAGGCTATCCCTTTTTCTCATATATATATATGGGGTAGGGGAGGTAAGATAGTAGGTAACATCAAGTTGAGAGCAGCTTTCGTAAGAGACCTCCGAATTATGAAATGCCCTCCGTGGGACTCGATCCCACGATCTCAAAGTTAAAAATCTTGTACTCTACCAACTGAGCTGGATGGTCATTTCTAAAAAGAATATAATATTTCCTTCTTAAAAGAATATACAGAAAGAGATCCAAGAAAGAAGCAATTCCCCTTTATTATATAATATATATATATATATATATATATATGCTCTGAGGGATCTTGTCTGTCTTCACACATTCTTCTTTCTCGGTCTCTACGCTCTAAGAACATGCCTCAGGGAACCCTTCAAGTTGTTCTTGTTAGTGCCAAAGGTCTTGAGAACACTGATTTTCTCTGTGAGTCCTGTTCCTTCTTTGGTTAATCTGAAATCTTGCTGGTTTTTGTCTTCTTTACAGTTTACTCAATTTCAGCGTTATCTGGTAGATCTGGGTACATTTCAATGCTTTTAGCTGTTTTCCGTTACGATCTCAGGATAATTTCGATCGATCAAGAATTTTTGTCCAATCAGAAGTGATCTGATCGAAATCGCATCTGAACTGCATTGATCAATAGTAGTTTAGTTCTTCATGTTTATAAGATTATATGTAGATATAGATATTCACATGTCAGATCTGATATAGGTATATGTTTAATTTTTCAAAGGAATTTGGCGTAATGCCTTGTTTTTATTGCTTATATCTTCATGTTTGGTGTTGCTGATGTTTCTGGGAAATGAAAATATGGGGAACGAGCAGGTAACATGGATCCTTATGTGCTTCTCACTTGCCGAACCCAGGAGCAGAAAAGCAGCGTTGCATCAGGTTGGACTTGTGATCAATCTAAATTCTTAACACGTTATTCATCTGACTGGATAATATATCAATTATCATGATTCAAACTTTGTTCTTACTCTTAGTCTGTAATTATGTCTTATAGAGTTTTGAAACAATATTTTTCTCAGGAAAAGGGTCAGAACCAGAATGGAATGAGAATTTTGAATTCAATATCTCGGAAGGTGTTTCGGAACTCAAAGTGAAAATACTGGACAGTGATACCGGTTCTCAGGACGATTTCATCGGGGAAGTAACGTGAGTATTACTACTATATCCTCTCCTATATGACTCAGATCGAGTGCAAGTATTCGGATAGGATATGTGCTCGAAACATATTTCTTCTATTGAATATCATATCCCATACCCCATATCTGATGCTCATGTTTTAATGATAATTGAAGCATACCTCTGGAGCCTGTATTCGAGGGAGGACACCTTCCCCCAACTGCATATAATGTTGTCAAGGACGAAAGCTATTGTGGGGAGATTAGAATTGGCCTCTCTTTCACCCCAGAGGTACTGTTTGTATTTGCTTTGTTGATGCTTGAATCTGAATCTACTGAACTTTCACCTCATACAGGTGAATGTATGAGTCGAATGGTAAATAAAATGTAAAATCGTCCATTGCATCTTGCAACAGGAACATCAATCCAGGGATTACCAAGTTGATGAATCTTTTGGAGGGTGGAAGCAGTCTACTTACACCGATTAGACTACTACTTTTAGTTTTCAATCTTAATTTCTGCTCCAGCAACTATCATGTTTGCTTTTGAGCTGTTATCGTGTGTCTTCGAGTTTTGTTTCGGTTACTTGTGACTGGGAGATTATTAATAATTTGTACTTTAATTTTCTCAAATCATTGTCAAACTGATTAATGCAGGCTAGAATGGAAGCAAATAACGTAAGGCATTTTAATCATTTAAGTTTTAAATGTTAATGCAGTTAAAATCTTAATTGCGAATCACTCGGAAATCGAGAGATGCTAATCGGGTAGGTTACTGTGCTTAAAATCTAATGGATACCCAAAGCATATTGAAGGAAAAAACAAGAAGCTGTTGACACCTTAGATTATAAAGCAGCCCTTCTAGCATTGTTAACAAAGATCAAGATAATTCAAGGCGACGGTGGATTAACGCCTTTGTTTAACACAGCCGACTATTTAAAACTAGCCTTTACCGATTTACCCTATTCTATGTTCTTCTAAAGAAGCATTCCAAAATACAAAAGCCGGAACACCAAAAAGATGTCAGCTTCAAAAAGAAATATCTAACCTGAAGTCGACTTTAGATGTCAGGCAGTGATATGCTTCCTTTAGGACAGCTTTATATCTAGGACTATGTCACCTTGTCTGGTAATTTCTTTTTCTCCTTCCTGTAAGATTTTTTAGCACTAGTAGTGTTGCTTTTAGGTAAGCTCAGGGATGGAGGATTCAAAGGGAATTGTTGTTGCTGAACGGGTTGCCCCATGAGCGGTGCAAAGTTTCCATATCTGCAAAAAGATTGGTGGAAGTTCCTCTGAGAAGCAAAACTATCTCCTGCGGGACTAGAACTTGCAAGAATCTTGAAGGAGACTCAAAGAAAGAATCAGACCAATCAGACCAAAAGCTCCCAAATGGAATTGCTGATAGCTTCCCTGAATTCTCATCATTCGATTGTGCGAGAACAGTTTTGTTTTTATGAGGCTCTATGCTGTTGCTTGATGATTCGTCATGAGACGAAGTGGTATTGTACGTAAATTTCTGATGTTCAACCGCCGTTCTTGGTCCAATCTCAAGTTGTTGAGATGATTTCACTGTCAGATTCACTGGAGTCAAATCCACATATTGAATGGCTTTGCTATCATAAATCTTTCCAGCTGCAAAGTCGAGCACTTGTGTGTGCCTGACAAGTTGTTTTGAAGTTCCCTGTTGCAAATCCACATCTTTCTTTTTATACCCAACTGAGCTAAAAAGAGTTTTCTTACAGCTGCTACGTTCAGTTCGTGTTTCAATTAGATTCTTATGTTGCTGGACATTAGCAATAGACGTTTTAACGAGCCCTTCACTGATAGCATCCTCTAATGGTATTGCACCTGTAGGAGTCTTGATTGCCAAAAGAAATGTTGTACTTCTAACTTGCTGTCACTGCCTTCCTGAGTTTCTGGCATTAGCAGTTGCTCTCCAAAAACTTCATGGGAATTAATGTTATCGATTTCTGGATTGACTGTCACAGGAGAAGCTTGATGTGGAAGCGTGGCAATAGGGTCAATATTTAGCCTCCGAGTTGCTTTATCCACCGAAACACGTGGTGGTTTTGCTTCATTGTCAACATGCTCATGTTCAAGAACAGCAAGTGGTGTTGAAAACCGACAGTCAAGTCAAGCTCTTTCATCTTCTTGAACTTGCTCGAGTTCTTAGTTTCTACATTACTTCTCTTGCTTTCCATTCTTGTTTTACGTAGACTCTTCTCTTGCAGGACACTAGAAGCTGGAGTTGAACAAGACCTTCATTGGCAGCATCCTCATGTGGTTGTACCCCACCTTTAAGAGTCTTCAGTGTAAGCTTTAGACATTGCTCTGAAGAAAACAAAGGCTGTACTTCTGATTTACTGTCACTGGTCTGCTCAGTCTCCAACTTTTGTGGCTGCTTTCCGAGAATATCTTCGTCTTCGATGGGCTTTATAATCTTCTCCGCTAGCCCACAATTTGATTTAATTGTTGAATCCTAGGCTTGCTTTGCTACCTCTGGATTGGAGTGAACATTGAACTTCAGATGTGATTTCTCGTCTAAAACACATGAACCAATGATTTCACTTAGGCAAGGCTTAGGTTCAAGCCGATCGAGCTGATCTGATAACCCTTGAGGCAAATCAAGCTCTTTCTTATTCTCAGACTTGCATGAACTCTTAGAGTCCATGCTGCTCTTCTTTTCCGTTTCATTTTCATCATAGTCATTATTACATTGCCCTTTCTCGAAGGTCTCCGTGTCTAGGTCAGGTAAGATACTCCTATCAGATGTCTCCCCACCTGCAGAAAAAAATATTCACAAATGTTTCACTTGTAAGCCCTCCCCGACCCAAATTCTCAAGTTGGTTGTTAACAACTTACAAGGGTTTGTAGTTTTCCACCCCTCACCTATAACGAGCCGTCAGCAAGATGTTTCACTTTCTTCCTCTTAGCTGCTGGGAGTTGCTATTATAAACAGACGGCAAGGATAAAATCACTCGTCTAAATAAAGCATTCATCATTAATAAATGATATCATAATTTCACTTTTGATACAGCATGCATCGTTGAAATTATTTAATTAAATCTAGCATGTGAAAATCTGACCAAATGAAATGATAACGGAATCGGATGAAACTAAACTTCGTACAAACTTACTGATTCATCTGCATTAACTAAAATTTGGCCACTGTTGTCCTTCTTTGGTAAAAAAGCAGTTTCAGCAATCTCTCCAGTTTCTAGATAGTGAAGAACAGTAGTTTTCGAGCAAAAAACAAAGCCGCTGACTGGATCGGTGTAATACTGTAGCAGTTATAGTTATTACCAATCAACATTTGAAAAATATAATTAAAAAAAAGAACATTTGAAAAATACTATGCATGTTTAAAGGAATCTCCGCAGCAGTTAATTCATGACACTATCAAGGCAAAGCTTTAAGCAACACAAGCACAAGATTCAGCACAAAATATTTTGGTGGTGTGTGTACAAAATCGAGGGCAAGAGCCAAGTTGGATTTTGTCCGTGTATGATTAAAATAAAATATTCTAGGGGACCGCATGATTTCGAAAGAAATATCATACCGAATATCTTCGGACTCCATATACGTTCCTTCTAATCTTAACTTCCTTAATCCACCCTGATGGTAAATCATCATCGGTTGACTTCTCGATTACAACCTATAGAAAAATCAAGACAGCATATGTTATTCAGAAGATATAAAAATAAAACAATTTTCTATGTTTCGTAAAATATATCCTAAATAAGGTAAAACTTTTATGCATTGTATGTGCTAAGACACCACCAATCTCTCCGTCTGCAAACTAAATAAATAGAAATGACAGAAACAAAAATGGTAGCAAAATGATTTTTGAGAACCGACTTTTTTTCTAGAGCGGGAATCTCTTTTTTTTTTCTCAGGTTTTCTCTTACTCGATACTTCAAGGCCAAGAAATCGGAACACCTGTGGCTTGGAATAGAATTTAAGTCCAGTTGACGGATCAACATACATCTGCAACAAGAAAGCAATTCAATAAAACTAAAATTGAAATATTAGAAAGAGAAGAAAAGAGTTTACATTTCCTCATGTTAGTAAATGCATAGTGTTAATTAAAAATCATGTTCGTTTATAGATACAGTTCAGATGCCTACAGGACAGGACATTGATGCAGTAAGGCAAAAGCTAGTCCATGAAAAATACAGTATTACGAATTCCATATGACAATAGAAGAGGGAAATGCCTTGTGATTCCTACGCATAAAAGAAGAACAAATTCCACATACCTTGACTCGTCTTTCAAAAGTTAGACCACTCTTTCGGGTTTTTACCTCCACGAGCCAATCCTTAGGTAACCATTCCGGACGTTTATTTTCTTTTACAGCAGTCTGTATGAAGATCGAGTAAATAGAAGTGAAGGCTATGAACTTGCTTGAAATGTTGCCATAATTGATTATCAAGACACAATAGTTCATTCTTTGTTATGTGTTTCCTACTTTAGAGCTCGACTCTGTTAAGAATCCCGAATACCTCACTGACTTGAAATAGAATCCAAATCCAGCTGAAGGATTAACATATATCCGCAACAAGAAAAGCAATATATAATTAGATAAACGAATGAAAAAAAGGGACAAAAGTACAGTTAAATAATTAACCACACTTACAGCCATCGTTCGCTGATGATGTTATATTTTTCCTTAATGTTGGCAGCTTGTCATCAAATTGTTTGCTTTCCATTTTGGTATATTGGAGAAGATCATCCTTGGTAAAGAACTTCCGACCGCTTGCCGGATTCACATATTGCTACATAAAGAAAACAGGACATATAATACCCTCAAAAAATGTTAATCGAGGTAAATAGACTTAATATCGAATTTCTGTCACCATATCATCAATCATTGAAGCATGAACCAAGAAATCAATGTTTCAGTGCCACGAAACGTCTTCCCGCATAAAAACGACAAGAACATTCCATTGCCTATAAAAGATCTTTGAACAGAACAAAATCGACCCGTTGTTACGCGCCTTTACCGCCGAGTACCAGAGTTTCAAAGAACTCCCATTTCCATGCAATGTATATCCCCAAAATGCAAAACCAACAGAATCAAACCTCGATCCCTTCGGCCTCCAAAACTTATGAATTCAACGAAAAATAGAACCCTTGTTTATCCATCTAACCCCCAAATTCAACATGCAGGAAACAACAGTTATCATTCGACATAATTTCTTTCACATGCAACTGAAAAACAACCGATCATCGACTAATACAAGCTACTGTAATCTTTGATCTTTAACTTCATCAGTCCATTTTGTCTTTTTCTTTGCTAAATATTCTCCAAAAAAACACTAATTTTCTTTTAAAATAAAAACTAAAACACAGACGTACAATTCTAGCTGGGTAATAATTAACAAACCGTGATTCGGCGACCAGTCTTTTGGAAACTGAACTCTCGGTTCCAGCCAGGGGGAAGCCAGTCCGGTGAACTTTCTACCGTCATTTTCACCGGAGATTAGATTTCCGGCGATCAAACACCTCTGTTTGATTTGTTTGAGGAGGAGTAGAAAGAAGTGGTCTTTGTGGAGGTTTTTGTATGAGCTTTGGACTTTGGAGTTTGTCTGAAAAGTGAAATGTATCGTAGGAGGTGTAACTGAAAACCAGCACGTGTCATTTTTTTAAAGATACGTAATATGAGTATAAACTACATAAATATTAAGTGTATTATTTTTCTTTTAATTTTTATCAACGAATTAACTTTTTTAATAAAAATATGATGATCGATCGTAAGTATTTAACGGCGTTTTTTCTGAAAAATTATATTTTTAATTTAATATTTTCGATCAAGCACAGGTCAGACTATATTTCTCGATTTAACACCCTTTGTAATAAAGAGCGTCTCCTGCATGGCTATACGCTGATTTGGTACCACGTGTGGGTAAGACGCGCCCCCTGCGACGCGTCTTATGTTAACATAGATACACGTGTGTATGACGCAGGACAGGTTGGTAATTAAGGGTATAGCGCGGGACAGGGGCCGCGCCTTACCTGTGATTCTGACACGCGTCAGAAAGGCGCGGTCCCTGCCCCGCGCTATACCATTAATTATCAACCTACCCCGCTCGTTCACACCTATCCCTCCCTATAAATACCCCATTCTCAATCACTTTCATCACACTAAATCCTCTCAACTTCTCTCAAATACTCTTATTTATCTTATTAAAGTATATTTTATTATATTTAATATTTTTAGTAATTTATTTAATTATTTTAATTGTTTAATATTTTATTCAATTAATTTTTTTTTTGCATATATAAAATGGAAGGCGGTTTACTTTGGTTAGATGGAAATCATATATCTCGACACTTTGCTGATACGGTAACATTTTAACGTTTTAATTTAATTAATTAATTTAATGCATGATTATTAGTTTAAAAATTAATTTGTGTAATTATTTATATTGTAGGAGAGAGACCGTATATTAGATCTTTTTATTAGGAACCTTAAGTTAGTTATACCTACTCGTGTAATATTGTATTTAGTAGAGGTTGGATTCGGTCACCTAGGTAGATATCAGGGTCATTGTAAGATAGAACCGGACCTTATTTCTGCCTTAGTAGAGCGGTGGAGGCCGGAGACCCACACATTTCATCTTCCGTGCAGAGAGTGCACGATCACGCTTGAGGATGTTTCTATGCACCTGGGGTTCCCGTGGATGGAGGTGTGATATCAGGGATAGCTTCCGGTTCTTGGACTACTTTGTGCTGGGTTAGTCTAGGACGTGTCCCGGAAAATTTTAACGGTGGATGGATATCGTTAAATTGGTTAGATGCCAATTTTCGGGAGTTGAGCGAGGACGCGTCTGACGATGAAGTTAAACAGTATGCACGGGTATGCATACTGCAGCTGATAGGAGGGTTGCTGATGCCGGACAAATCGCGCAACCAAGTTCACTGTATGTGGTTGCAACATCTTGGCGACTTTCATCTGGCCGGATCACTCAGTTGGGGCTCGGTAGTTTTGACTTGCCTGTACAGGGAGATGTGTCGAGCCATTGACTACAGGCGTAATGCTATCGGCGGATGTCTCCTACTGCTGCAGTCTTGGGCATGGTATCGATTGTCCTTTTTATGTCCCGTTGTCAAGAATCCATTCGTATTTCCGCTACTCCTAAGGTAATTATAAAACTGATTTTGTATATTAATAATTTTATACAGTGAATAAGAAATTATTTTTCATGAATAGGTGGTCTACTGATAGGAAAAATCATCAGGAGCTACCTGATGATTTAGAAAAAATTAGGGTGTTAATCGATCAGAAGGCTGACACACAGGTATGAATTTTAATGTTTAAAAATCGATTTTAGATTATAGTTATATAATTAGATTATTATTTTGATAAAAATTATATATATTTATTTTAGTTTGAATGGGTGACATATTCTACTAATGATGTGAGGGTGATGATCCCACCTAAGTTGAGGGGCCCATCAGATGTTTGGATGGCGATAGTCCATTTAATATGTTATGCGACCGTCGAGTGGCACTCCATTAATCGCGTGCTCCGGCAATTTGGTTGTTTTCAACCAATTTCAGAAGTACCTCGTAATATGGACGAGTTGCATAGCACAGATAGACACGGCAAGACAGATACAAATTGACTGGTGAGGCATCATGTGTGGGTCGTGTTGTGGGAGGATCGACATCAGCGCCTTCCCCGTAGAGAGCCCATTTTACTTGACCTCTTGATGGTTTCTGACGGTTATTACGAGTGGTTCAACAGTAACGGGAAACTGTTTCTGCTTCCTGAGGATGCACGAGGCCAGACCTTTCCGCGACGTCGACAGAGACGTTCACCGATACAACACCATCGTCCCCCGACTCGTGGACGGAGAGCAGGTGCTTCCGGTTCATCCTCAGCTGCACCAGCAGGACCTTCACAGCAGCCACCGTATCCACCAGCTTACATACCGAAGCCATATATGATGTCACCACCGCCTTTCCATTACCAGATGCCGCCACCGCCACCTGGTTTTATGACCCCGCCGCCGCCACCGTCACAGAGTTATATGACCCCTCCTGAAGGCTATTATGGGTCTATGATTGCATATCCGACTTGGGGTTCATATGCTCATATTTTGGTGGGTTCAATATCACCCATGGCCGCAGCACAGACACCTCCTGTACAGTTTTCACACTCAGCGATGTCTGGGTTTTATGAGTTTTCCCAGTTTTCGCATGACGGTCGGATAGTCAGTCATACACCTCGAGGGTCCTTATTTTATGGAGGTGCTTTATTGTCATCAACTCCTCATCAACAAAATATAGCTGCTCAGGACGACGACGACGATGATGATGACAGCGATGAGTCACAACCAGTGATATGAAGAAATCCTCCTCGAGACCGACAGCCACCGCCCTGCGGAACACATTCGCGTCGCAGGCATCGATAGATTTTGTTTTTTTATACTTGTATTTAGTACTTTTTATTGTAGTTGTTTATTGGACTTTTTTATTGTAATTTTTTATTATTTATCATTTAATACTTACTTTGTTAATTTATCATTTAATATAAGTTATTGTAATTTGGTTATCATTTAATACTTATTGTATCGTTAATATCAATTATTCGTTAATATAACGCCAACGTCTAATCTCGTATAATTGTATCATTTTTTAATCTTCATCAACAGTTATCGAATAACATTAACTTGAAGTAAATGCA